TAGGTTGAGTGTGGCGGTGACGCACCTGTTTTTCCCTTAAAGACTTTCGTTGTACTCTAAATATGTTTAATAGTAAAGATGGTTTCATTTAAAAATGGGGGTGTTACAAGTTGGTATCAGAGCCCTTAGGTTCTCCGAAGGGATTAGAACATGAGGTAATAGGTTGTAGGGAGAAGTTCTGTCACCAAGACGATAACAGACTAAGCTAGTTGGTTCTTAATTGAGCCTTGCGCTCGTCCAACTAACCGGGAATTTCTCCTTGTGCTGAAATTTCGTTGTTCGAAAACCTTGAAGGAACCCTTTGAAATTGTACCTCTAAATGGGAAATTTTCAAATATTTTTTAAACTAGGAGAAATAATATAGCTAGGAAATGGCCTATTAGGAACGTGGTGAGGACCTTATGAGTAATTCTTATCCTTGCATGTATGTGATAATTGTGCTAATCGTGGGCCCATATGAGGAATGGGAACCCTAAATGTTGAAGGGAATGCCTCATAAGGCAAAATTCCAAAGTGGCCAAGGTATGTACAAACATTATGTGCAAAAGTGGTCTTATGTGAACTGTGAATCCTGTGTATAATAGTATGGTACGATTTTCATATTATCATGTTGTATAGCCTATGGAATCCTTAGTTTAAATAGGATCCTTAAGAGCAAAATAGGGAAATTCTTACACGAATATATTGTGTTATTAAGATATCATGGCACCGAGAAGAAACCCTGATAATACACCCACCAATGCAGAGCTGGCACAAAGCGTCCAGCAACTGGCACAGTTCATGCACACATTGGGTGCTACTGTACTCCAGAATCACCAAAATCAGAACAATGGAAATGATGCTGCTAAACGAGTAGCATCTCGCAACCCACCGAGCTTTCATGGGCAAGAAGATCCTCGTATCCTCGAGGATTGGGTCCGACTCTTTGACAAACTCTTTGACGCGGTGAACTGTCTGGAAGAGCAAATAGTTGACATTGTTGTCTATTACTTACAAAAAGAGGGGGATAATTGGTGGGTCTCATCAGGCTCAGCTCTACGTCCACAACCCAATTTCAATTGGGAAGCTTTCAAGATTGCAATGAGGAAACGTTTTTATCCTGCTCACGTCCAGGCCACCATGCATGAGGAATTCATACATTTCAAATAACTCGACATGAGTGTCCAGGAATATCACACTAAATTCCTGGACCTCGCGCCGTTTGCAAAGACAATAGTGCTTGATGAGAGCACCAAAGTCGAGAAGTTTATTCGTGGATTAAACTTTGATACACAGAAAACTGTCACTGTTTTGGGTTGCCAAACTCTGACGGATGCCTATGATAGAGCTGCAGTTCACTATCGTCTTCAACAGTTACAAAGAGAGAGAAACCAGAAAATGAAGAGGTACGGAGATGAGGAGAGAGGTCGGGGAGAAAAGAGGTTTAGATCGAACCCACCTACACAACAACAAGAACGGAGGGAGAGGATAGATGAACAAAGCGGAAGAAATTTATGTGGTCAAAACCAGCAGAACAATCGGAGAGCTGCTCCTAGAGATAGGCACTTCTACTGCAAGAAGTGCCGGAGAGATCACCCTGCGGTTAACTGCGATGGGATCCTAACCAAATGTTTCAATTGCGGGAAGCTAGGGCACCGATCCTTCGAGTGTCTGTCAAAGACCAATGGGGCACCATTGATTCAGGTGCAATATCATGATAGAAACTGAACCGGGCCTAATGGCGGGCAAAACAACAACAATGCCGCCGCCATCAACAACAACCGCAACCCTCGAGGAGGAGGGGAGAATAATCGCAGTCACGGTAATGGCGGTAACAAGGGAAATGGAGGGAACAATGGCAATGGCGGAAATAACGGCAACCGTCCGAACCAAGGGCGAATCATGGTAATGAACCAAGCCCAAGCCAATGCGAATGATGTGGTCTCAGGTACATTCTTTGTAAATTCTGAGCGTGCTTATGTTCTATTTGATTTTGGTGCTTCTCACAGTTTCATATCTTCTAAATTCGTTAAGAGATTAAAGATTGAACCAACAGCTAGAATAGGCTTGAATGTAAGAACTGCCTCAGATAAATTTGTAACTTATGGAAATGTATACTCCAACATTTCCGTACTCATATGTGAGTCCAACCTACCTGGAGACTTAATCCAATTTGACTTAGAAGATATAGACGTAGTACTGGGCATGGACTGGTTGGGGAAGTACAAAGCTAGGATCCTATGTAATGAACAGAAGGTGATCTTGAAGGGTCTAAATGGGAAGAGAATCTTCTATTATACAAAGACAAAAGAAAAAATGAACAGTGTTCCCGCCCAAACACTATGCAGTAACGTGCCGTGTCAAGCTTCACATGGGTGTAGAGACGGATCAGCAGAGAGGCCCATTTTGTTGCTTAAATGATTGCACAGAACCCAATATTTCATCTGTTGGGCTGAAGGCTGATCATTTAATGCATTGTGCTTGGTAGTTGATAGAGGTCATGTCAATGCACTGTTCGAGCTCCTGCAGTCTGCTTTTAGAACTTAAAAAATATTTTAAGTTGTCCTTTTTAACTAATGAATCACAATTAAAATCTGATTGCAGCCTTGAGCCTCAAAAAAATTAAATACATTGTACTTGATAGTTCTGAACAATAAATGGAGCCACACAAACATTTCTTGAGCCTCACAACAATAAATGCAATGTACTACATAATCTCAATGTAAAAATTGAGTGGGTATTTGTACTTGATAGTTCTGAATTGGAGCCACACAAACATTTCTTGAGCCTCACAAACAATAAATGCAATGTACTACATAATCTCAATGTAAAGATTGAGTGGGTATTTTTAACCCTTGGTTAACCCAATTGATTCACCTTATAATTAATGCATTGTACTACCAAATCTTAATATTGAGATTGTGTGGGATTTTCAACCTAGGTTATTCTCTCCTTTATCCAATATAAATACCCAAGTAGGGGATGACCACAACATACCACAAACCAGTATTCAGCAGCTGTATTTTTAAGTTCAAAAGTTCAAAACCAGTGCAATGGCAACCGCTTCATCAGCACAAGGGATGTGGTCCTTGCTCAAGGATATCGATCACACAAAGACGACCTGGGCAATCAAGGTTCGGGTAGTTAGGGCATACGAAGTTCCTCCACACTCTAAGGGAGGGAAGACTCTTGAAATGGTTTTGCATGACGCAGAGGTATGGTTTGTAACATCTAACTTCTATGGCGTCTTTGGCTCAACTTTTCTTAATCCAATGTAAATTCTTACTAGGGAGATCGGATTCACGCCATTATCAAGAGGCCGCAGATAGCAATGTATAAGCCTAATATTACAGAGAACAAAATTTATGCCATAAGAAACTTTTTGGTGCTTGACAATTACCAAACAGTGAAGACTACAAGTCATCCCTACATAATTCAGTTCATCTCAAAAACCCTATTGAGGGAGGATACGAAGACGGAAATGCCTATGATGGTCTATGATTTTCAGCCTTTTGATATGCTGCATGCCCAAAGAGTTATCAACGACAAAACTCTAATTGGTGAGTTAGAGTCAAATTATTCCATACTACATTGCTTGCACAAATATCCTAATTACAGTTTCTATCGTTTAATTATGAAGATGTCATTGGGAAGGTTCTGTCCAAGAGCCTTATCCAGACCCACATAATCAACGGGAGGACTGATAGGCTAATGGAGTTGACTTTGACAGACCCGGAGTAAGTTTTACAACTTAAACGATTTTAGCAAAACAAAAGACACATGCTCATTGACTGAAACTTTTCTAAACTACATGGGTAACAGATTGGGCGCCGTATTGTGGAACAAGTAAATAAACCAGTATCTGGATTATGTTAATGCTAATGAAGGAGTGCCTGTCTTCGTGATATTTCAACTATGTAGGCCAAAAAGATACCAAGGTTTGAGAAACTTAGCAGCATTCATTATGTAGTACACAGTAGCCAAAGCTTATGGTAGTGTTGTTTTAAACACAAGGATCTTGACAGTGAATTCGTCTTTTGATGTATCAAAGCTCATAATCAACGGGAACACTACTGAGTTTCTAGAGTTCCAAAGCGAGTATGCGTATTAAATCTCCTAAAACTAAACTTTGACTACCCAATTTCATAAAAAAAATCTCCTAAAACTCAAGTATCCTAGAACTAAAGACTGTTTACCATGCAATACACAGGTTTCCAGCAGATGGTGATGACACCACGACTCAAACCTGTAACACGCAATGCTCACATGCGGAAGGGAGGGATGATATACTCGGTGGAAATGTTGTCATTACCACCATGGAGGATTTGATGAAGGCAACTGAGGTGTGTCCTGAAGCTAGAGTCATAGATTTCGCATTTTGAATAAATATATCCACTGCTAATAAGAAAATTATACTTGGATTGGAGATTGTTTATTGGGTACTTGCTGAGATAGTTTCTATAGAAAACTATCGAGAATGGTGCTACCTAAGTTGCCCAACATGCCACAAAAAATTGCAACCAGAAGAGGAACGGTTTAGGTGTACAACTTGCAGCATGTCAATGGCAGAAGGAGTTTATCGGTTCATTACTTAACCTAATGTGCTTTTATGAGTGTAGGATGTTCACGTTTTTATTTTAGTAATAAAAATTGTTACTCTGATGATTCAGCTACAAGGTCAGTGTGTGTATTATGGACAACACAGGGTATAGAAACTTCATGTTATGGGACAGGGAATGCATAGAAATTCTGGGTAAAACTTCAGCAAGTCTTAAAGCCGAGGTAGAGAAGGTAACACAATAATCCGTGAGCAGTGTTTACTTTATCAGACCTTCAATCAATTATGGATGGGCTAACCACATAACTTGGAAAACACAGAAAACCGGGGATCCAAGCCGCTTTCCGGAAGACATTGAAAGCTTGGTTGATATAAAGGGAATTTTCAAAATACAGCTAAGAAAGAAGAAAGGTGAGGAAAATGCCTATAATGATGGGATTTTTCTAGGGGTGGTTAGCATCATAAGAGATCCTAATGTTATCTCAATGTATGAGAAGAAAGAGCACTTGGAAACTAATGAAATTGATGAGAGTACACCAGAAAAGGTATTTAGAAAAATTATTAATTTGTGTATTTGGGCCTTGAATAAATAAATATGACAACTAACTTAAAATCATTTTTTTGCAGATTGGTTCAAATGCAAATTTAGGAGAAACCTCCATCAGAGAAAAATCAACTGTCAGTAAGGGCAAGGGGAAACGAATTTCGGCAGAAAAGGAGGTAAGTGATCGACTGTTAAGAGGTATATAATATTTTCGTTCAAAATTCTGTAGACGGTTCACTAAACAACTATATTACTGCTAGGTTTCTGCACCAATTGAGCTTCCCGACACACCTACGGAATGTACCCAAAGGGAGGTCAATGTTGAATTAAATGAAGAGGTCAAAAGAAACTTGAATGATGAATTTTCAAGCACTGGGAATGGCAAGAAGCTGAAGATCAAAATCAAACAGGAACCGCTCTAGAGCGGGTTCAGTTCATGAATAACATTGATGATATTTTGTTGGCACCTACTATGGTGTTTATTGTTATTTGAAAACAGTTTCATGCACAGGACGTATGCCTTCTCTTTTTGGGATAACTGAAAACTGTGTAACAGGCCATTAAACCCTACTTTATGACTATTGTGTGGTGTGCTATTATGTTTTGACTATGTTTAGGATGTTTTGTATCTATATTGGGCAGTTTTGCAGGATTTCAGAGAAGGGATATTCCTAAACCATTTAGGGAAGTTTATGCTCCTAATATCTTTGTATTTTATAAACAGACCTTTGTTTTCACACTAACGCTTTACTAATGGTTTCCAGGATGATGAAAAAGTTTTGGGTTAAGAAAAATGCTACCAATGGTGTGAAGAATGGATTAACTGCTAGACGAGAGCATGGGATGGTGTGAATAAACGATTGTGTGGTGTGCTATTATGTTTTAACTATGTTTAGGATGTTTTGTATCTATATTGGGCAGTTTTGCAGGATTTCAGAGAAGGGTTATTCCTAAACCATTTAGGGAAGTTTATGCTCCTAATATCTTTGTATTTTATAAACAGACCTTTGTTTTCAAACTAACGCTTTACTAATGGTTTCCAGGATGATGAAAAAGTTTTGGGTTAAGAAAAATGCTACCAATAGTGTGAAGAATGGCTTAACTGCTAGACGAGAGCATGTGATGGTGTGAATAATGGCTTAACTGCTAGACGAGGCATGGGATGGTGTCAATATTGGCTTAACTGCTAGATTTACTATGAAACATGTAAATGTGTAAACTCTAAGAGGCATTACGTAAACAAGTAAATGTGTACTCTTATGATTTCAAAAGTGTAACATTTGGATTGGAAATTCTAATACAAGTGTATTACATTTAAAAATCTATGCAATATTCTTTGGTTGCAATTTGACAATTGGCAATTTGATTCAACAACTTGCATAATTTTAAATAACCAAGTGAGGTAAAGAAGTTCATACCTTAGTCTTTTGCAGAATGGAGGGTTACCTGCAATCCCTATTTACTAAATAATATTACAAACCTTTTAAATTTTACATAAATGGCAACCTTCTAAGGTCCCAGAACTATTCCTATTACAATTTTCTAGATAGCGTTTTTAAACCTGTTCAACCAGAAAATCACACCTGTCAAAACGTATTAAAAGAGTTATTATTCCTGTGAACACACTCTTGGATAAAAGTACAAATAAGTTTAAAAAAATGTCTGTTAGAAAGTAAAATTTTGGAATATTTTAGTACATAATGTTGCAATATCAAACATGAAGTAAATTTTATGTATTAAAGCTTATTCGAAATTGTTATTCAAAAATAAAAACTTGGTTAGCCATTGCTAAGAGTTATTATTATAAATCAATACACTTGGGAGTTGTGGTATCTTTGACAAAATTGGAAAATAGAAATATGAAATTAAGTCCATTTTTTGGGAATAAAAATGTGGTAAAAATATCTGCCCAAAATGTCATTGAAGTGTTTGTATTTTGAAATTCTTCAAAAATAGAACCATGTCTAAGTAACAAGTAAATATTTGTAAAGATGTCAAAAGCTTGAATATAATAGAAATTTAACCAACATGTGAAAGGGATGTTTGTTTCTGAATGGTATGGAAAGATATATTTAGTATGGATAAAAAGATATGAGAAGTACATGCTTCCACTTAGCATTTTGGGCATGTCTATTTCGGCCATATATGTATCCCAGGTATTTTGGGTTTCAAATACGTGAGTTTTAAAAAGGCCTTACCCTTGAAATAAATAAATTAAATTAAATTGAATCGATACATATCCAAAGGAATACTGAAAAGTAATAAAAATAAATTTATGCACGAAGTGCAAATGGATTTAGCAGAATAATAAAAGATATTTATTGTAAAAGTTTATAAAGAGTATTTAGCAGAATCAAGATCCAAACCTGCCCAAGTCCCTGTGTACTAATGAAGGTACCAACTTCCAATGTTGGAGATTGTGTGGCTCAAGAGAGCATTAATGAGTAGTATAATAGATTTAAAACTTTGTACTTTAAAAACACATTATTTCTTGGGAGCTAGGTTATATATTTTTACTTAAAAAATAAGGGACAAAATATATAAAAAACATTAAATTGATTTCAAATAATCGGAAATTATTTTTGGAAAAGTATTCAAAAATTTTGAAAATAAATTTTAGAAAAATAAATTATAACGTGAATATCAAAAAATTATTATAAAATATTCATACAACAAGTTGGTTTTAATTTATTTGATGTAAAAGTTTATAGAGTATTTAGCAGAATCAAGATCAAAACCACCCAAGATAGCTGTGTACTTGAAAGCTGCGGGCAATTAATGCAGGCAACAACTTCCAATGTTGGAGATTGTGTGGCTCAAGAGAGCACAAATTTAAAACTGTATTTTAAAACCACATTATTTTTACTAAATAAATAAAGTACAAAATATATTAAAAAAATAAAATAATTTCAAATACGTAACAATTATTTTTGGAAGTTTATCCTTAAAAATTTCAAAATAATTTTTGAAAAAAAAAATTAAACGCGAACACCAAAAAACTATTAGAAAATATTCATAGATAACAAAATAATTAAATCTGCACGTTTTTAAATTTTGGGGCTGTGCTTAAAGGTAATTATGACATATGAACAAAACCGTTCATTAAGTACAATGGTTAGTAGGGTTCGAAACAGTCAAGGGGCAGTCATTATTGTAAAGCACTTGAGTATCACTACTCAAAAATATTAATACAACACAGTGTATTAATTCTAGGATGGAATGTAGGTCTGCTGGAATTAAATGAAGATGTACAACAAATATTATAAAATATTCCAGAAAGGTAACTTACCAATATTGTAAAGTGAGTGGATATGTAACTCCCAATGCATTTACTCCATGCTCAGAAGCTCATGATAGTTCTGAACTGGAGCCACACAAACATTTCTTGAGCCTCACAAACAATAAATGCAATGTACTACATAATCTCAATGTAAAGATTGAGTGGGTATTTTTACCCCTTGGTTAACCCAATTGATTCACCTTATAATTAATGCATTGTACTACCAAATCTTAATATTGAGATTGTGTGGGATTTTCAAACACTGTGATTTTCTCTCCTTTATCCTATATAAATACCCAAGCAGGGGTAATCATGACATATGAACAAAACCGTTCATCAAGTACAATGGTTAGTAGGGTTCGAAACAGTCAAGGGGCAGTCATTATTGTAAAGCACTTGAGTATCACTACTCAAAAATATTAATACAACACAGTGTATTAATTCTAGGATGGAATGTAGGTCTGCTGGAATTAAATGAAGATGTACAACAAATATTATAAAATATTCCAGAAAGGTAACTTACCAATATTGTAAAGTGAGTGGATATATAACTCCCAATGCATTTACTCCATGCTCAGAAGCTCATTTATGAGCTCAACCAAAAATTCTAACAATTGAAACTGTGAGAAAGGCTCAAGAATATCTACGACCAGTGCAATTGAGTGTGAAGAAAAGGTATGTTTCATAACTCATTATTGATAATGCTATATGAAACTATGCAATGAACACTAATACCAAATGCATTTAAACTGATTACAACACTTAAAATCCTTTTATTTGTAAAAAATAATTGTATTTTTTTCCTTTGTAATGAAAGATGAGAAGTTGTTCATGCAACAAATGTTCTCAACCAAAATGTCATACATGTGGACACTATCCTGGACTCTCTTGGTTGCAACCATGCTCTTTGTGTAATGGGAATTTAAGTCACTTTTACTGCATGAGGCCAGTAAACAAAAATAGGGGTACTGGCAAATACTTATGCAAAGATTGTCAAGAATGGTTAGATGCAAGACCAATGATACCTAGAAGATCAGTGCGGACAGACACACTTAATCAGAAGTACTTCAATGAAAAACTTTGTGTGGGGATGAATTTTAGTTGGCTTAACTAGGGATGACCTTAGTAATGCATTTATATGATTAAAATATGCATATGTTTTTGTTGAATATGTTAAAGCCAATTGGAATGAACTTAGTAATGCATTTCAATGAATGAAATATGCTTATGTTTTTGCTGGATATATAAAGAGGCAAAACAGATTAGAATTTTGTTGATTGTGTGGATAGTATGTTCATGCCATGTTATATTCCTAAAGGGATGTGTCTATGTAATCCATGGTATGCTTTATGCAGACCATGTCATGCTTTATGAAATCCAATGTTTAATGTTGTATGCATATGCAGTTTTGAAGTTTCAGTGTTTCAGTTGTGCAACAGCTGAAGAATGTTTTAATTTATGCATTTGACAGATGTTTTAGTGTATAGAAAAGTTCAGAAAACCAATTTCGATGCACATGCATATCATAAGAAATTACTCATTAGTTGAGATGCAGACTATTAAGGATCAATGGTGATCTGGTGTTTCAACTTATCAGGCCAACGGACTGCCAGACCACGCAGTTCCGAAGGCCACTTTGGTGGCTGGCAGGGCATCTGACAGTCCTATGGGATGGGCCATGAAAACCAGAAATACCAAATTGAACCGGTTTGAAAATTTGTTTATGAAAGCGACAATATGAAATAAACGTCTTAGTATAAATAAAAAGTATTCCAGTCTTCCAAAAGTTGTATTAACACCATGTCGTTTTGGTTTCAAAACAGTTCTTCAATGAAGAGGATCACCAAAAGCACAATAATCAACCCTAAAAGAAGCGTTGAAGACCTGACTAACAAAGGTAGTTCAATATTTTCAAAATAATTTTGGAAATTTGTAATGGAAAATTAGTTAAATATGCATTTATGATTTCAGTGGTATAACAAGAATATTATAACATAATTTTAATTACATACATTACAGATACTACATATAATAATAGTGTTTTGATAATATTAATAGTAACCCAGCCCGATAAATAAATTATAAAACTAAATCAGACCAACAATCTTTTATTAAGGGCAGGTTCTTCCTAATTAAGTCCAACACCCCAGCATATAGAAGATTTTAGTAAAGATGTATATTTGAAAAGACCATAACACAGAATACAAAAATCTTTTATTAAGGGCAGCTTCTTCCTAATTAAGTCCAACACCCTAGCATATAGAAATTTTTAGTAA